CCAAAAAAAAAAAAAAAAAAAAAGAGGAAAAAAAGAGGAAAAAAAAAGAATAAATAAGAATAAATAAGAATAATTATAGGAATAATTAACAATATATAAAGGAATACTAATTACATATTATAATCTTTTTCTTTCTTTTTTCCTGTTTATTACATATACATATATACCTATACATATATACATATATACATATATACATATATACATATATACATATATACATATATACATATATAGATAACCCTCCTGGTGCTGGTGTTGGTGTTATTGCTGCTGCTACTGCTGCTGCTATTGCTGCTGTTGCTGCTGCTGCAGCTGCAGCTGCTGCTTACCTCTTCCTTAGCTGCTTGTATAGCTTGCTGCGCCTGCTGCTGTATTTGTACCTCTAATTCATCAACAGAAGGACGAGGAAGACAAAAAGTACGAAGATGAATATCTTTAGGTACGTAATTACGAAAACGTAAACTTACTCCTTCCTCACTCATATTTACTCTATACACACCAGCAGCAGCAGCAGCAGCAGCAGCAGCAGCAGCAGCAGCAGGAGGAGGAGGAGGGAGAGGAGAGGAGGAGGAGGAGAAGGACGGGGAGGAGGGAGAAGAAACGGAAGGGATAAGGGGAGAAGGAAGAGGAAGAGAGAGAAGGAAGGGGAAGAGGTCAAAGGAGGAGGAGGAGTTGTACTAGAGTATAGCGTCCTGTTGCTGCTGCTGCTGTTTCTGCTGCTGTTGCTGCTGCTGCTGCTGCTGTTGTTGTAAGAGAAGGAGATGTATGTTTGTATATGTAGACAGGTAATATATTAATTAATAAGAGAAAAATAAATTTATAAGAAGAAAAAAAGTATTTATTTCTTCTTTTTTTTCTTCTTTTCTTCTTATATATATGAATAAGGAAGAAGAAAGAATAAATTTATTTATTTTATTTATATAATAAATAAATAAATAAATAAATAAATAAATAATTTATTCTTTTTTTATATTTTATACGCAAAATATTCATCAATATTTATTTCTGATGCGCTGCACTGCAACAATGGCAGCAGCAGCAGCAGCAGCAGCAGCAATAGCAGCAGCAGCAGCCCCGTTCTGCTGCATGCATTTTCTTATGAGGTAAGAAGAATAAATACATAAATATATAATTCTTTTTTATATAATTAATTTGTTTTATTTATTTTATAAGTCTTCTTTTTCTCCTTTTGCTTATTATAACAATATAAAGAGTGTTAATTGCTGCAGCAGCAGCAACAGCAGCAGCAGCAGCAACAGCAGCAGCAGCAGCAACAGTGTCCTTTTCTTTTCTTAGGTGTAAAAAACGACCATAAAATCACCAAAAATACTTCTTTATAGGGCACAGAAGGATCAACACCACCACCGCCACTAGCAGCAGCAGGAGCAACAGCAGCAGGAGCAACAGCAGCAGCAGCAGCAGCAGCAGCAAATATAATTATTTAATTAATTAAATTAATAAAATGGTGCGGCTGCTGCTGCGATTAAAAGCAGATTTGGAGAATGTCGAGAAAATTGAATTTCCTGAGGATTACACCTGGAACTTAAATGGTACTGCAGCAGCAGCAGCAACAGCAGCAGCAGCAGCAGCAGCAGCAGGAATAACAGCATAAGCAATACTAGTACCAGCAATAGAGCAGCAATAGGTGCAGCAGCAGCAGCAGCAACACCAGCAGCAGAACATTACTATTCATTTATGATTATTGTATATGTGTTGCTGCTGTTGCTGCCCTTTCTGCTGCTGTTCCTCCTACCCCTCCTCCTCCTGCTGTTGTTGTTGCTGTTGCTGCTGCTGCTGCTGCTGCTGCTGCATGCATGCATGCATGCATGCATGCATGCAGCCTAGAGGCAAACAATTGGCTACCAACAGCAGGATGTGTTGTAAGAGGACCAAAGAAAAGTTTTATTGATGTTGATTTGTCTGAGGATTGGGCAGACTTTGATGAGGTAAATACACAAATAAATAAATAAATAAATAAATAAATAAATAAATAAATAAATAAATATAATTAATTAATTAATTAATTAATTATACTTTTTTTTTTATTAATATATTATTCCTCTTTTTTTTTTTTGCCTATTTTGTTGTATGTGTACAAATGTAACATTAACACCTAAGCAGCAGCAGCAACTGCAGCAACACTAGCAGCAGCAGCAGCAACAGCAATAGCAACAGCAGCAACAGCAGCAGCAGCAACAGCAGCAACAGCAGCAGCAGCAATTTATTTGTGGTGTATGTGCAGGGGGCGAATGAGAGTGTTGGCATTTATAACGTTGAATTTGATTTTGTTGTCCATAAATAAATAAATAAATAAATAAATAAATAAATAAATAAATAAATAAATAAATAAATAAATTTATATATATATATATATATACAATTATTTACTATCTATTTATATTTAATTAATTATTTATATTTATATTTATTAATGTTTAATTAAATTAAATTAAATATTTATTTTATTTAACATGTATATCTACGCCACACATAAAAG